ACTACTGCATATTTTGTAATAAAAAGGCTTATGGTTACAAGAAGGACCTCTTTCATTTATAAAGACAATAAAATAATCTTTGTATAAGTCTCCTATAAAAATATAGTATAGAAAAAGGTAACTTTGTTTTCTTTAAAGACTCATACATGATCACTAAAAATACTTATTCCCCAGAGATCCCCTCCTCCTACAATACAACACCTCACTTGGCAATCATTTAATCTCATTTGACTATTCCATTTGTTATTTGTGTAGGATAGTTCATTCTCAAATAATGCTTCTGTTTTGCCACTATTTGAATACCAAGTTTCCCTACCTCAGTAACAGATAAGTATTTTCTCTGTTCTCTATCCTGAGCCCTTGATCTGATTTTCTGGGCACCTTCCTCTCTCAATAATGACTTTACTCATAGACTGGTCCCAGAACACATACAGGAAGTTACCCTCTGACACCAGGGCCCTCATTAAACTAGAAATCCAGTGTCCCAGACAATTGTGATTTTTTTCTTTTCTTTTTTTTGAGACGGAGTCTTGCTGTGTTGCCCAAGCTGGAGGGCAGTGGCACGATCTCAGCTCACTGCAAGCCCCGCCTCCCGGGTTCACGCCATTCTCCTGCCTCAGCCTCCCGAGTAGCTAGGACTACATACAAGCGCCTGCCACCACGCTCTGCTAATTTTCTGTATTTTTAGTAGAGATGGGGTTTTACTGTGTTAGCCAGGGCTCTCCTGACCTCGTGATCCACCCGCCTCGGCCTCCCAAAGTACTGGAATTACAGGCGTGAGCCACCGAGCCCGGCTGAAAATTGTGATTTTTCTACTTAAGACACTTTACCCAGCTAACTCAGGAGGCTGAGGCAGGAGGATCACTTGAGGCCAGGAGTTTGAGATCAGCCTGGGCAACATAGTGAGATTCTGTATCTTTAAAAAAATTTTTTTTTGCAGCTTTTTGAGTCCACTTAAAAATTTTTTCTTTATTTTTTGAGATGGAGTCTTACTCTGTCACCCAGGGTAGAGTGCAGTGGTGCGATCTCGCTTCACTGCAACCTCCGCCTCCCGGGGTTCACACCATTCTCCTGCCTCAGTCTCCCAAGTAGCTGGGACCACGGGCGTGTTACCACACCCGGCTAATTTTTTGTGTTTTTAGTAGAGATGGGGTTTCACCGTGTTAGCCAGGATGATCTTGATCTCCTGATCTCGTGATCCACCCACCTTGGCCTCCCTAAGTGTTGGGATTACAGGCGTAAGCCACCATGCCTGGTCAAAATAAATATTTTGTTG